AGCACGAAATACTGTAAATTAAATACTGAATGGCGGTTCATGTAGGGAAAGAACATATCAATATTCGCATATTCATTCAAAAACATGAAAATTCTTAATGGAGTACCCTCCTTTTTTATTGAATTCCTAAAAAACAATATTTATAATGAATTTTAATAATTTTTTCGAATTTTTTTTAAGCTTTATTCTGACAGATTCACCAGATTCCCGATCCGGATCGCCGATTCGCCGATCCGGATCGGTGTTTTGGAAGCCCGATCCGAGTCACCGATCCGTTTTTTAAACCATTGGTTATATGTAACTAAAACGTCCAAAACTACTATTTGGCAAAAGATTCCACTGCCAGTCTTCTTCCAATCTCTCGAGGGGAATACCAGCACAGTCCCTAATTTTTCTCCAACTTGGGCATATTTGTTGTTCTGGATTTCACAAGAAGTAAAAACCGACTGCAATTGGGAAAAGGTTCTAATGATGATGATGATGATGATGATTTCACAAGAAGTAAAAATTTGTATAAATTCTTCTTTTCTTTGCAAAAACATGAGAAACAACAATCATATCAAGACAGGCTGTATCAAATTCACAAAACTATTAAGGTTCACAAATTATGGTGAAATATACACTTTATTTCATTGCACCTGCAAGACTATTAAGGTTCACAAATTATGTTTGAAATATACACGATGTCATTGAACGCACAAAACTATTAAAGTTCACAAATTGTGGTGAAATATACACTAGATTTCATTGTAGAAGTCAGGAAATGCTGGTTTCCAAGGTTAGAACTGGGCAACTATGCAGTGTGCCCACCTTCTTTGTTTAATAAGAGAGAACATATTCTTGTTCAGTTGTAACAGATAGAAATACAGTTTAAAGTGGCCAATGACATATATATAACAGTGCCTACCGGGGCCCAAAAGAAGAAGATAAAGAAGTAGTCGAAGAGAAATACTGGTCCGATTGAACACCGCCAGGTGCTTCTTTAGCTTGGCCTGATTCCATGACAGAAAAATAGAAAAATGGTGGTGGGCTTGGTTGTGGGAGTTGGGGTACCTTTCTTTTAAGGAATTGAACCACCATTGACATTGTAGGCCGGAGTGATGGGGATTCTTGAATGCATAATAGGCCCACTTGTAAGGCCCATGAAACCTCTTCTTTTGAGCAGTTGGATTCAAGTACAGGGTCTAAAATTTCCAACGCTTCATTTTTCTCATACTGATTCCACATCTGCAGAGAGAAAACGAATAGACATTATATAAATCATGACTGCATATAATGGCCAATTCATTGATTTTGAATCCATTAGGCTTGAACAAATGGCTAGAGATCAATAAATCTACCGTGCCACCATTCTTTTTTATGTGGATATCATGGTATTTATGTGCACCTGGGTGTGAGTTAGTTAGCAAAGTATTGATAATGATGACTGGACATTCCTAATGAAAGTGCGTGAGTGTAAAAGGTCCAGCAAAGAGAACCATTCAGGGTGTTAAACTAGTACATAACAAATTTGATTGTATCATTTAATCTATTCATAATCTTCTTATTCTACTCATATAGCAAACCACTACAGGAAGAAAGCCAAATCACCTTTGACACAACTTCAAAAACAGGCAGACAATCCAAAGACCTCAAAATTCATGAATAAGATGATAACATGAAATTCCATTCATCTGAACTTCTGACATTTCACAGAGCTTCTCCCTGGAAAGGCATGTTCTCTTAAATACACACACACGCATGCATGCAAATGTGTGTGTGTGTGTGTGAGAGAGAGAGAGAGAGAGAGAGAGAGCAAGAGAGAAAGAGAGAGAGAGAGAGAGAGAGAGAGAGAGAGAGAGAGAGAGAGAGAGTAGAGGAGACGAGAAGTACGTACGACGTAGTAGGTAGTTAGTTTTAGTACTAACTTACTTAACTTTTACTTTACCTTAGTTAGTTAGTAAG